GGTTAGGGTTAGGGTTAGGGTTAGGGCGCCCTCTGCTGAGAAGAGAGAGAGGAGAGGAAAGGCATTGTAGGTCTGTTTGTAAACGGGGCTTCTCTTACAGTCATGTATTTCCAAAAAAAACATCTCTTAATGCACGGTAGAGCGCCATTTTTTTTTTTGTTTTTTTTTTTAAATATTCGAACCTTAGTTTTCAACTTTGAATATGCTCATTTTTACAATAATTATAATTGTTTTCGAATAGCAAAGTTTGTTCAAAGACAATAAAAATGACAGTGAACACATTAAGGGAGGTCGTGCTTTGTGTAAGGTCCACGTGACACATAAATGTCTGATTAAAAAAATAATTCAGGGTTTTTCAGAATCTGAGGTTGTAGAATTTTTATTCCTGTAAATCTGCAGAAGGAGAAAAGTCAGACAAACTTTATGTTCCATATGATGAGCGGACATTTTGGAAGATGATAGCGCTGAGCTCCAGGTGCAGACAGAGCCCCACAGAGCAGCTGCTGATGACCTCACTCCTCAACCATTTCATTCAGCATACATACATGTCATCCTCCAGAACCGCCCACATCACATGACACAAACCTCAGAGACGCCGAGACCAGAAACAAGACGTGTTGTGTTTGAGGAGAGAGTCTGTAAATCAAGTCTGAGCTGCAGCAGCGAGAGTTTGGCTTTTACAGCATCTCATTTCCTCCCAGTTTCTGTAATGAGCTCTGGGCTGAGTAAACACACACACACACACACACACACACTCAGTCGTTCTCTTAATGCAGCCTGATGCTAAGTTTCATCACTGCAGACTTATTTCTGACGCACTGAGGACATGTTCATTCTTTAACAGTTCACAGTTTGTGTTGTGGTTTTCAGTATGTTTCCAGTGACAGGCCGAACCTGAAGTGAAACGTATCCTGACTTCAAAACTTTGATCTGTTTCATTTCTGTTTTTTTTTCATATGATTTAAACCCTTCCTAATGTGGTGTTGTTGTGATACTCGCACAAGTTTGAACACTAGAATATTTTTAGTGGACTCGCGTCATATGCGCGTCTTGGCTATCGCGGTGCTAATTGGTAGCTGAAGTTCCAATTGTTCATCTCTCGTAAAAAAGAGCCTGGTCTCACTCTGAAGTCGTCGAAATCTGGCGCTTGGGCAGTGACATGTGGCGCCAGAAACCAACGAAAAAAGGCATCCTTTAATGTCGGCATGCTACACGGCCGGTTGCTGTTGGTGTTCGGCGGCATCAGGCGAAGACACAGCAGGATAAGGATAAAAGATCAGGTGGGGCGGCAGGGTCCAACAGACACTGACTTTTACCCAAGAGAGCGGTCCGGTAAGACTGTAAAGCCAAAACCTGTTCTGTTTTCCTAAACATTGAAGAAAAAAAAAAACATCGATACAGTCCAACCTGCCTCCTTACGAGTGCTCAGGACTGCTTCCTTCTTTACTGCCGCCAGCGCATTGGTCACGTGATCGCAGCCTTACGTGGGATATGTACGTATTTGATGTATTATTTTTCATAGAAAAACATCTGAAAAGTTCAAGAGAACAGCCTGAATGTGTGAATCTGTGACGCACTGTCGTGTCGTGACCTCCTGAATCTGAACACGACCTCTGATAACTGAAGTTTTTATTGAACGGTACGAAGCTTTGTTTGATTTCAACACGTTTCATTCACTTTGTTAACACATGCTCATCAGTGCCTTAAAGATCCAACCTGAAAACACAAACACACAAACAAACACATGCACAAACATAAAATGGACGCCCCCACTCACAACTTCACTCCTCTCTCCTGCAGAGAACGAGCTGGTGATAATCAGGATCCACCTCCGTCTGTTTCTTTTTATATTTTACTAAATTACAAATTATATCCATCCCCCATTCATTTACTTATCTATTTAATTTTCCTCTTTATTAAACTTCTGATGAGACCTTTGCACATTTGTCTCAGATCATGTCTTTAAGAAAATGTTTGGTTTCTTCAAAAAAAAAAAGAGAGAGAAAAGAAACCACAATAGTTTGTTAGAAGATGGCAATTTGTTTCCATTCATTTATTTATCAAATTTGGGGGAAAAATCCTAAACGGTGTTGAGAAATATGTGAAACAATCTTTTGAATTTGAAGGTAATGAAAAAGGCTTTGCAGTACAGAGGATGAAAGGAGCCAAAAATAAAAACGAAATTACTTAAAAAAATAAATGAAAAATGAATAATATTTTTTATAATAGTTATTTTAAATTCATAAATCTATATTAATAACAAAAAGGCTATCATGTATGGGGGGGTGTTTGCCAAACTAAAAACAAAACAAAAAAATTCACCAAATTTAAAAAATATTAATAAATATTGGCATTAATTAACTGTTATAATGTGACATTGATATTTGTTTTAATTTTCTTCTTTGTTAGTTTACTTTTACATTAATCCCCCAATTTGTTTATTTTCCTATTTAATTATGCTTTTTATTTATTTGTTTTTTAAAAAATTTGGAAAGACCCTTGAAAATTTGTTGCTGATCATATTTTTAAAGACTTCATGTTATTATGGGAAAATTTGGCGTTTGTTTTTTTTTCCCCAAAAAAACCCCAAGAAATAAGTAACTTTTTTTTTTTCCTAATAAAATTGATAAGTATGTTGATTTTTGGATGGAAGCTGACAAAAAAATCTATAAAAATGAATATTGAAATAATTAATATTAAAATAAATGTAGGCAATAATTGACTGATAAAAGGTGATCCTGATATTTCTTTTTTAATTTTTAAAATGTATTTACCCTTCATTTAATTACCGTTCATTTTCATTTTAACATTTTTCATCTGCCTTTATATATATTTTTTACCGTATGTTATTTATTGTCCACACGGTGCAGTCGTTCCATATGTTTCTGTTCCTGTGGTCAGACGAGTTGAGGCAGTGATTTAATTTTGACGTACAGCGAGGTCACTTCCTGCTGACAGAGTCGTGACATGTGGCCGTCCCTCCGTTACTTTCTCTTTCTGTCTGGTTTCCAGATTCGTCCATTAAACACACAAACAACACACTTGACTTCCTTGGAAACAAAAGAGGGATTTCCTCCCCGTCGGCGTGGCTCTCAGACCTCGGCACACTCCCTGATGAACGTGTTGTGGAGGTCAGCGGCGGCAGGAGGCAGATCTGGGGGTTACGAGTGAGCAGAGGTATGCAGCGACTCCCCCGTCTCCCCCCCGACCCTGTACTGCTCTGAGGGTGAGGATCCTCACAGTGTGGCCCGGAGCCAAACACTGAAGCCTCTGTGATCCACAGCTGCTGCTGCTGTGTGTCCGTCTGTCTCAGCGTCCACCCACAGTTTGGGTTTTAGCGTGACGCTCGTCTCTCAGTCGGCCTGACGGACGGGGCTGAAGACACCGTCACGAACGTGACGGACATGACAGGCCGAACTCTTCGAGTGACAGAGGTCAGCTGTGAACAGGTCAGGTTTCAGGCCCCTACCACACATGAAGTGTTTCAGCAGCTGGAGGCGACTTTTTCTAAATGTTTTTAATCAGAATTAAACTATTTGCTCCTCGTGTTTCTGCGCTCTAGGTGCCTGGTGTTTTTGTTGGAGCGCTCTGAACTCGAGTTGAAAAAACTTCAACTCAGAGCGGAAAAGTGCCCCTCTTTTTCCCATCATCCAATGAGATGATTTGAGAGGCGGGGCTTCTGTGGTGGTCACGGCAACAAGTTCACAGTTGGTAACCAATGGAGGAGAAACTGGTGGTAGTGGTTGCTGGATACCCAGAGCTATACGACTTTACAAAGCACAGTTAGCACCATGTCAATAGAAAACAGCAGGTAAGTGCAGTACTGTAAACGTCCATGATGGAGGAGAAGCTCCTGGACCAACTGGTGGTACTCCCCATGATCCAGCCTCTTTTTTAGGGTCTCATGTACCCACACAGATCTCTGTTTATCTGCTGACAGCCTCTCACCCTCAACCAGAGCTACACACAGCACCCTCTGCCTCAACATGGCAGCAGCTACACATTCATTACTGCAGGATACAGACAGTAAATAAATAAATAAACACTAGTGGAATTTAATTTCTAGAAAAACAGGCAGTGTGGCTCGCCTCACCTTTTGTAACCTGCAAAACACTGTCTGTGTGATCGGGGCCTAAAGTGAAATTGATACCTCTGCATCAAATCTACGCCGTAGCCTGACGTGCATCTCCCCAGAAATGTAACTCCACAGTGTCACAGTGACGCAGACCTCCTGTCTGTCTCTGTAAGCTGAAACCATTTCCCTCAGTGGAAACAAAGCTTTGATTTACTTTAATTTCACAGATAAGAAACAATAAATAGTGAAGACAATAAAGCCTCCACACACTGTGTGTGATTTATCCTGGCTGAAATATGAGCAGAGGAAATCTCTGCTAGCTGCTAGGCTAATTTATACAATGTAAAATGCCATAGGCTTGTGCTAACAACGTTAGCATGTTGTATTTGTTTGGAAATAAAGACGAGAATTTGACATGTTGATGTGAAATCTGTCAATTTTAAACACAAGAACAAAGAAAATATTTGTGAATAAAAAAATATTTTGCAGATAAACAAATGAGGAGAAAGTTTTGTCTCGATATTTTTTGTGTGAATGTGTATCCCTGTAAATAAAAACAACTTCCACATATATATAAAATGTGTAAACTCACAAAAACAACACATGTAAACAAAAACCTGGATTTAAAAATATCTGAAAGTTTGTGTTTATTTATTTATTTATATTATCTGTTTATGATTTATTGCAGTTTAGAGTCTTTCTTTATATTAGTGGAAGTTGTTCCATTGACTGCTGACCTGTTATAATATTGACACAAATGAGCCACCGTACTGATGAGCTGTGTCTGTTGGTGAGATGAATTAACACTGCACCTCCTCTCTGTGCTCCTCATCTCTAACCTCCTCCTCTCTGTTCCTCCTCCTCCTCTCTGCTCCTCCTCCTATCTGACCTCCTCCTCTCTGCTCCTCCTCTCTAACTTCCTCCTATCTGACCTCCTCCTCTCTGCTCCTCCTCTCTAACTTCCTCCAATCTGACCTCCTCCTCTTTGCTCCTCCTCCTCTCTTCTCCTCCTGTGTTCCTCCTCTCTGAGCCTCATCCTCTCTGTTCCTCTTCCTCCTCCTCCTCTCTGCTCCCCCTCCTATCTGACCTCCTCCTCTCTGTCTCCTCCTCTCTGCTCCTCCTCTCTAACTTCCTCCTATCTGACCTCCTCCTCTTTGCTCCTCCTCCTCTCTTCTCCTCCTCTGTGTTCCTCATCTCTAACCTCCTCCTTTCTGAGCCTCATCCTCTCTGTTCCTCCTCCTCCTCTCTGCTCCTCCTCCTCTCTGAGCCTCCTCCTCTTCTCCTCCTCTCTGTGCTCCTCCTATCTGACCTTTTCCTCTCTTCTCCTCCTCTCTGTGCTCCTCCTATCTGACCTCCTCGTCTCTGTGCTCCTCCTATCTGACCTCCTCCTCTGCTCCTCCTCTCTGCTCCTCCTCCTCTCTTCTCCTTCTCTCTGCTGCTCCTCCTCCTTTCTGCTCCTCCTCTCTGCTCCTCCTCTCTTCTCCTCCTCTCTGCTCTTCCTCTCTTCTCCTCCTCTCTGTGCTCCTCCTATCTGACCTCCTCCTCTCTGCTCCTCCTCCTCTCTTCTCCTCCTATCTGACCTCCTCCTCTCTGCTCCTCCTCTCTGCTCCTCCTCCTCTCTTCTCCTTCTCTCTGCTGCTCCTCCTCCTCTCTTCTCCTCCTATCTGACCTCCTCCTCTCTTCTCCTCCTATCTGACCTCCTCCTCTCTTCTCCTCCTCTCTGCTCCTCTTCCTCTCTGTACACACACGGATCAACCTGTTGTCTCTGATCCGGGATCAGTTCAGCGGGCTGCTCCGGTGCTGACGTCACACAGGAGCGCGCTTTGTTGAACTGATCCGGGGTCTGTTGGGACCTCCTCCTCCTCCTCCTCCTCTTCCAGTGTTCCGACCGCCGCGCAGTGTTTTTCCTTCCACTCCACTTTGAGCAGCTCCGTGACTTTCCCACGCCTCCGCCCCGCACGGCTCCGCACAACTCTCTGAATCAGCAGAACCTCCGTGATACGCGGAAACGACCATTTAAAAGCCGCCGTTAACGGGAGCGGAGCCAGTTCCGGAGCGGAGCACCGATGTCGGGATGAAATCACAGCGGGCCTCGACTTTTTCATGTGGACTAAACTTTTCTGCGGTGCGCTCTGTGCTGTCCGCGGCGGTGAAGCGCTCAGCTCTCCGCTCAGCACTTCGCTTTTAACCGTCTGGAGAGTTGGTTTTTACCGATGCGCCGCTTTTTACCGACTCTTTTCTCCGTGGAAACTTCACTCCTCAGGAATCCGACGCGTCAGGGAGCTAGCTAGCTCCTCGGCTAGTTTCTAAGCTAGTTTTCTTTCCTCTCAACAGACAAAACATTGAGTGAACTCTGCGTTAACGCTGCGTGCGATGCGCTCATCACGCGGCTAACGTTAGCCGAACATTAGCTGTTAGCACACAGGAGTTAGCCTTTCATGCTAGCTGCCGCGGCTAACGTCCAGACATGCCGCAGCTAACCGGGGCGGACGGAGACGACCTGGGAGCGAACGATGAGCTGATCGCGTTTAAAGACGAGGGGGAGCAGGAGGAGAAGAGGAACGTGTCCTCTGAACGGGACCTGGACGATGTCAAGTCCTCTCTGGTCAACGAGTCCGAGTCCAGCTCAGACTCGGAGGTGAGTTAACTGAGACCAACTTTTGTCCAGAGGAGCTTGTTTGTGTCCGTCCGCAGGTACGGAGGCTCATTGGGCTCAATACTACCTGTGGGTCGTGTTTTAATTAACGGGGGGGGGGGCACAATGTGTTTTATATCTTTATCATTTACGCACAGATTGTTGACGTGTTCACACTGATATCTGTGTATTTACAGAGTTGTTTTATATTTGTTTTTTTGTTTTTAGTGGCAGCTGTTTTTATATTTGCTCTTTTGTGAGTTTACAAGTTCTTGCTAATTAATTTCTACACGATTTGCAAATCTTTCATATTTACACATTTATTTATTTTTGAAGTATTAATTTATTTATCATTTATCCATTTATTATTGAAATTATTATTTATGTTTGGAATTTACAAGCATTTTTTTGTTGTGTGGAAGTCGCAAATTGATTTCTACATAATTTGCAAATCTTTTTATATTTGCATGTTTTTATTTATTTATTATCCATTTATTATTGAAATTATTCTTTGGAATTTACAAATGTTTTTTTGTAGTTGTGGAGGTTGGTTTTATATTTACAGATTACACACTTAAACACAGATTGTTGATCTGTACGCACAGGTAATAAAAAGACAAATTGTTTTCCATTTGTTATAATTTGTGTATTTGCAGATCAGTTTTATAGAAATTTAAATGGCTGTATTTATTTTTTTTTTAAAAATTGTAAACTCAAAAAGAAATTAATTTACAAATATAAAGTGGGACTGCACACCCACAAACAAATTACAGAAATTTAAAAGACTCAGTGTGTGAAAAATGAAAAACCCCAAGATTCACAAATCAAAATTTGATTGACAAATATCAGTTCAAAAGTTGTAATTATTGGGAAAAACAGTCGCAGGTTTGGGAGTCACGTTTATTTTAAAAATTTTTTTTTTTTTTTTTTTTTTTAAAGGAACATGTTTTATTTAAAAACTGGCAGTAAAATAAATAAGCATGTAAAAGGTGTTCACTGTACATGATGTGTCCAAGGACCGTTGGAAATTTTAAAATCTATTAATAATTGTGGTTGTTATCCTTAAAAATTGGCAAATTTCACCATTTATTACAGCTACAAGCTGTAAAAAAGAAATGATTGTTTGATTTTCAAACTTCCAATGGTCCTTGGATACATCATGTGAACACTTCTGTAATGTGTTTATTTTATATTTATTTTACCACTGATTTTTAAAGAAAACACGCCTTTCCAAACCTCTGTTGTTTTTTTGTGTAAACTCAAAAAAATAAATAAAT